TAATAAATGGCAGAATTAAACTAAAATTTTTGCTAAGTTTATTTCGTTTTGAACGGTTCAACATTTTCATTTCAAGTTTTTTTTTTTGCTGTATTTCATTTCAATATTAACAGTTATCGTAATTTTTGAACGTTTTTAAGCAAACGAAAACAGCTAATTAAAAGTCGGGAAATGTTTGAGCAGTTTTATTTAGTAATTAGCATACAATCAAAAAGCTGCTTACATTAGAATATCACCAATTATCAAAAAGCAAAAAATTGGACTTTAACAGTGTTAGAAAAAACAAATTTTTCTGCTCAAATTGTTTCATTTCTTTCTTCCTTTTTTTTTTCAAATTTTTTGTTTTTAATACACAAATCTGTAATTACTTCAAATGTCAACAAAATACAATGTCAATTAAGCACCAAACATTTGGTAGCTGAAATTAGATCAAATACAGAAAATTTATCATTTTTATTTTTTTGACAAATAACGCAACAATTTTGCAAAGTTTTCTTTTTGAAATGCAAAAAGATGAAAAAGAATTTCTTTGGTTCTTAATTTGTTTTTATTATTTTTTTTTTCTTTCTTACTTTATCATCTTTCTTAGACATCTCACCAATTTTCTTTTAAGTTACCAAATTAAGAAAAAAAAAAAGTTGGAACGAAAGAGCAAAAAGTGATAAAAATTAAAAGCAATATTTTTTTAATTTTTATGATTTATTTGAAAGTTTTTTCTTTCCTGCTTTTTAAATGTTTCTCGAAATTTTAAGTGCCATTTACTTAAAAGACTTTTATTCGTTTTAAGGTTTATCTGTTTGAATGTGATAAAACCATTGAACAAAACTGAAAGAACTTTATTGTAAAGACTTACGTAATTTATCTGTAAATTTATTTACTTGATTTTTATCAACGTTGCTGTTTTTTTTAAGGATTGTTGTATTCTAATTTTGGATTATACGGCATCGGTAACCGTTGATGACTGTGATCACTGCTTAATTGTTACAGGTCCATCGAAAGCCAGGTTATTACTTTTTAACAAAATTAACTTACTTTTATGCATTAGTCTCTTTTTTTTTTTTGTTTTAACTGCAAAATGTGTCTGTCAAGGTTTAAGGTATATAGTTGCTGTACAAAAATTGAAAGTTTTGTTAAGTTCAATCAAATAGATCTGATAATGATGCTTACCAGTTTTAAAAGCTTGTTTGAAACTGACGCTTTTGTGGCTTTTAGAGCATCTGTATTTGACAAATATATAACACCAATAAATTGGTAATTAAATTATTCAAGTAAAAAGGCAAAAAATTTTAACGTCAAATACTAATGTTTACAGCATTAGTGGCTCTAACGTTTTAGCCAAATAATTGTTTTTAGAAGTGAAAATTTCTGTAAGATCAGATGAAATGTTAATCATTAACTACAAAATTTTTCGCGTATAGAAATCATGTTAAAATGACTTTTTTGAAAGGAACAATGATATATTTATTCAGTATTAATATCACCGTGTATAAATTAATTATTAAAGTAATTGGAAGAATTGAAATTGGAATTTGAAATATCTTAATTGGAAGAATCTCACAACTTGCCATCAATCATTTCGTATCAAAAATTCAAACTATAGTTAAAACAGTTTTAAATTTGTTTCGATACTACTTAGTTAAAGCGCTTAACTGCTAGCAACAGCTATTTTGAAAGTTATGGTCAGCCAAAAAAAACTATCATTTTTCATTTTCAGTGTTTTTTTGCGAAACTGTGAAAATTGTTCAGTTTTTACGCCTTGTACCCAATTCCGGACCCGTGACTGTGTTAACATCGATGTATTCCTCTTCTGTATCACAAAACCGATCATCGAAACCTCTACCGCTATACGGTTTCGTTCATTAGCTATGTACTATGATTGTATTGAAGGTATAATAACTTCTACTTTTGCTTCAATTTTTTACTTCGGCTGACTGAACACCGGCCATTATAACTAAAAGTTCAAAAGCTAATCGGGAAAAAAAAAAATTAAAACAGATGTTTGCTTAAACAAAAAAAAAAAGTATAGAAGAAACTGAAAACTGCAGTTTACGTAAACAGTTCCGGTTTAATTTAATTAGCTATATGAATTTGGTAAAAAAGCACAATTAACAGATTTGAGTTAATCAAAATTAATTCTTCTAATTCAATAAACAAAACGTTTAAAAAAAATAGTTAAACATTTTTTTTTCTTCTATTTTCTAATTTCTTCTGTTTTTTAATCTATTCATTTTTTACCGGTTCTTCTCTTTAACTGATAATAATACATTTATTCGAATTTATGTTTACAAAAAAAAAAAATGAAATCTTTTTTAGCAAGACCAGAAAAACAGGAAAAAGACATAAACAACTTACAACAAATTTTTCACAAATTTTAATTTTTTTTTTCAGAGTTATAACTAAGGGAAGAAAGTAGCAAAAAAAAAAGAAGATGTGTTTGAAAATGAAATAATTGAAAGTGAAGAAGTTCTTTTTTTTTTTTT